ACGAAAGCTTATGCTCTAATAAATTTGTTAGTCTCTAAGGTGCCACAAGTACTCCTGTTCTTTTTGCGAATACAGACTAACACGGCTGCTACTCTGAAACCTTTAAAAGGTTGAACATCTTAAGACAAAAACAATTTCTGGATCTCCTGCAAGCATTTCTCATTTAGCCAGTTTAAAATACTAATATTTTTTAAAATCAAGAATATTGAGGTTGGACAGAGGAGAAAATCTTCAAAAGTACCTAGGTGATTTAGGAATCTATTTCCCATTTTCAAAAGTGATTTATGCCCTTAAGAGTTTACGTCTCACTGAAAGTCAATGGGCTTTTAAAAATTTTACCCTGCAACATTTCTGTTCAAATAATAGATATGCAAACTAAAACTAAACATAAAACAAACAGAACAAACAAACAGTTTTTTTGCTATGTCAGACTGCTGTTATGTTTTGTGGCCTTGATCCTGCCATGTCTTAGGTGGTGAGCCCCACTGACTTTCACATATACACATCACTGCATCATTTCCTACGCCATTATATCTTTACGTTCTCAAACACAGTTTAACTTCCACTAGCATGCTCTGCAGAATAGTGGGCTCCGCTTGGACACAGATCTGCCCATGTGTACCACATTCCATGATCAGGGCCATTACATTACATTTTTGTCAAATTCTTTTGCTGTTTTTGAAGCCTGCATTTACAAAGGGGTCTCTTACAGTTTTCCAAAAAATACTGCAGAAGAGTAATTTCTGTGTATTAATATGTTGATTTGGACATTTTACTACCCTGGAAAACTTACAACATTGTAAATTAAAAAAGAAAAAGAAAATAAAAATGATGCCACATAAGGTAATGTTGGAACAAAACAAACTAATCCTTAAAGAGAAATTTGTTTTGTTTTCTCACAGTATGATTATTTACAGCACATATGGTATGATATGAACTCTGGAAAATGGAGTATATATTGTAAATGGTAGATAGAACTTTCACAAACACCCCAGGCGCTTTTACTACAAACTATAAGGATGTCTAGTACTTTTCATATATAGTAAAGACAGGAATCGTTGCTGAGCCGAGAATCTGCTGATAAGCAGGATAAGTCCTGCAATTTTTTTTCAATACCTGCCTTTAAGACAGAAGCGAGCTATCTTGAACTTCCAAATATTCAATAGCACAGATATTTACACATTTGGTTTAATCAGGATTTTTTAATATATAAATAAAAGATTGAGATACCTGGATTAGAAGGTATGTAGCCCTGTAAGTGTACCAGACCCCTTAATAACAGCAAAAATTAACCATTCAGAAAAAGACTGGTGATCCAGTGGTAATCAATACCAACTATACATTTTTAAAAGAATCTTGATTAGGTAGCAGGTTTGTGACACCACTCAACCTTGCAGCTTTCATATATTTATTTTTTAAACTGTAGTTTTTAATTGAACAAATAGCATGTAAAACTTCCTAAAATTCCTGGAAGGCAGCAATTCCAGCTGTACCCTTCCCAAAATTCAAGAAAGGCATATGATGGCCAATATGCACCTTATTGATTTCCATTATCCTTGGAAAAATAAGTACTAAAGAGGTTTTTGCCATTGCAATATTAATAAAAACACAGTTGTGATAAACAGATATATTAAAGCCACATTTAAATGATAGGTGACTCAAATAGGAATATGAATAAGACACCTCATTTTGATGCAACTATATATGTGAAAAAATTAGATTTGATTCATTTTTAGGTTGTTTTGCTGATGTAACATAGCACCGTTCCTAGTCCACCAATATAGCCTTTGTGGGCAACATGAAACCATTACTTTTATCTAGAGTATCTTCACCTCTTAATTTCAGACACTTATTTTGTTCCACAACATCCTCTAAACACCTGACTTGTCTTCCACTACTTTACCTGACTATTAGTACTTGGTCTATGTAACTGTACTAACAACAGTTCCTGAAATCATGGCACTGTCACAGAAAAGCAGGATGGGGGAAGTAAGGCTACAACAATGTAAGTGCAAGAGGGGGAAAAATATGGGTGTGAGGAGTCCCATCTTCTCATGATCTAGGTAGGTAGAGGGTCATCATCTCCTTTATTACATTTGCACTTGCAGCAAAGGACAAATGGGGTAGCAAGTAAAAGGAAAGGCGAGGCCACTAATAGCAGTAGACCAAATCCCGCAAAGATTCCCACCACCTGAAAAAACAATGGAAAAATGACATGTGTCAGTACTGCAATTGGCACTGCAGGGTTCAAATTCTGCTCCAACACAAAGTCAATGCACTAGGGGAGAAGTCAATTGCAAGACTCCCACTGATTTCAATAGAGCCAGGATTTCACCATAGTTGTACATCACAGAAGATTTTTGTGTTTAATAAAATGTATATAACTACATTAAGTTAACTATATTATATAACTAAGTTAACAGATGATTACTAATTTTCAGAATGGGAGAATGGTAGCAGGCTCTAATCTTGAGAAAATAGTTACTAGACTGCAATGGCCCTTTTCCCCTGTATCAGTCTGAATTCACATCATGTCACCTACAAATTTCAATAGTGCACGCATGCATGCGTTCACACACCCTAGATTAAGCAGATGTTAATTTGCACTGAACAAAAAGACAAGGATGGCTTTCCTATGTCTCCTGCACCTACCCACTCTTATTCAGTGCAAGTGGATAGTTTTACCTTTCTTTCTTTCTTGCTCGATAAAATGTGAATTTTAAGCCTCTAGCATCTGTGGTGTTTGAGGAATTCTGCTGCCGAGGGCAAACATGTTTATATTGGGGAAGTTCCACTGACAGATTCTTACAGGTATTCAAGAAAGGACACTGTTTTCCTTTCAGAGAGCAACTATTTGGACTCAAACAATTTAAAATTCAGCGTGAATTTTAGATATTTCTATAGTACCTATCAGTACACAAGTAGTTATATGAAATGTTGAATGACATTTTAATGTAGTCACATGTTGTTTGCAAGCAGTAACCATGCATTTAAAGTTCCCTTGAAAGATTTAAATCTTTATACAGCTGAGGTTGCTAAGCACTACCTGTGCCAAAACATCTAGAGTTTGAGTTCCTTTATCTTTCCTCTGTCACTGAAATAACCCAATACAATCACCCACACAACTGATAGAAAAAGGGGAAGGTGTTGGTTTTCCTACCAAGGAGCAGTCTCTGGGACTTTGCTCTGAGGCGCCAAACTTTGCATCAGCTTCTGGCTAGCAGGTACATAATACATTTGATCCCCCATCTCTCCCTTCTGATTGCTGAAAGGGAGGAGTATTTTCTCTCCTCCTTTCTACTCTTTCCTCCAACCCCTGAGCTTCCTGGCTGCTACTAGAACGGTAGGGTGATCTCACCATAGTCTACTTCTCCCTCAGCTTCCTGGCTACTGCAAGGTTGTGGGTGGTTCTATTCCTCCCACGGCCTCCTTTTTTTGAGCCCTTCTCCATAAACAGCTCTAGTGCCTGTTGTGGCACAGAGCATTCCCAAGCAGCAACAGAGACTGATTTCTCGTGAGTTTCACTGCTGCCTACAACCTTCCCAACACCAGTAGTGGAAATCGACAGCTTAGGAGCTAGAGGGCTGCTCGAGCCTAATTTTTAAGCCCGACCTGGACGCAATCTATCTGACCCGAGCCTGAGAAATTTGAGTTGTTTTACAATCCAACCCCAACACTTCTCCGCCTCCCCCCCAAATCTGTCACCGATGCTACTGCCTCCAGCTGGTGGGGTCAGTGTGGCCGCTGTGAGCCCCACTTCTGCCAGCCGCTGCTCCCTGATGCACTGGGAGCTCTGTGGAGCAAGAGGCACTGCATCTTACTAGTGCACTCATCCCGCAGCGCACACACTGCAACAAGTTGGCGGTGGCCAGCAGGAGTGAGGCATGCTGCTGCTGCACTGACCCCACGGGCAGGAGAAGGTAATCAGAGGTTACCCGACCCAACCTGAGCCTGAGAGGGTTGGGTTGGGTTGTTTTCTGACCCACCTAACCCCAATCCAACACTTGTAGTTGGGTCCCATCAGTTTTGGGTTGGGTTGCTGGGCTCTTCTCTGAGCAGCAGAAACACTGCACACTTAAGTGAGGCAACTCTGCATTGGTTTTCACTCATTTCACATTTGGAAGGTTACAGGTTTTTCTTAAATTGATGCTAATTGCCTGAGAAAGCTTCCTATGTGCCCTAAGCAAATGAGAGAGTAGATTTTGGAAGGCCTGCTTGCAAGTCATTCAACAAACCCACCAACAATTACTCACAGAATAATTGTGAATAATGAATACCTGGGAAAAATCATCATCTGCTCATTAACAATTGCAATTTGAATGCTAGGGCTCCCTAGGCACTACGGTAATACAAACTATAACACTACTATTGTATTCATTAGGAATTCTTCTCCCAGCTCTCGTCAGATACTAAACATTCTGATTAATTGGCAAATATTTCATTTGCCATAGTGTAAAAAATATACTCTAAACCTAAATTAACAGGCTTATTGATACCTTCTCTACCAGGGACTATTTTTCTTCCTGAACACTGTGGATTTCTTTTTGCAATTTCCTTTATCCAGCTATTTTTTATTCCAGGGCTGAAAATCAATACTGAGTTCAGCAGGTGGCGCTGCTGAACAAAACTAAGTTTGAGGAGTGAAGTGCACACTGCTTTATTATGTAATATTAGACAAGGATTCTTATTTTAAAATAAAAAGCTTAGCTGCGGCTCTCCAGAGACACCAATCTCAAATTTCTCTGTCCTAATATTTTTATTTTTTGCCAAAGACAATTACTTTAAATTATCACATTATAAGTACCTTTCCCCACATATCCCTGTGTCAGACAGGCAGCTAATCTGATGCGTCTGCGCTTAATGTCTTTGGGGCACCTGCTGACACTGAAGGGTGAAAGCAAAGCCTAGATTCTTCCCTGAGCTTCCTTTAAATGCTACTGAGCTGCAGCCCATACTGATCTTTGGCGATAGCACATACTCAAGTAGCCATGTGCAATCTTCTCAGTGTGCACTATGGGGCACCATTAGCTGAGCAGAGCCAAGGTAAAATTTAACAATATAGTAGACTGGCAAACAGTGCTCTTTACAATCAAACAGGAGGCCAGCTTACATTTTCCTTTCAGCTCAGATATGCCAGTCAGTGAATTTATCCAGGATTTTTAAGATCAGGTCAACAGGTTGTCTGGTGAGAATCAGTGATACATTTTCCACTGGGTGGACTCAGCTGCTATTGAACAGTAGGCTATTTCCTAGCATGTGTAATGTCTAGAAGTGATTTTTGCACTGGAAGTACAACACTTTGCATTACAGCACCATGCCTTTCACTTTGATGTTATGTTATGCTCCTCTTGGGTAATACTCCAAGAATGCTTAACATAAGGGCCCCCATCCTGCAAACACTAGCAATCGTAGTGCTCACTAACCTGGCTTCAATGGGAATTCTCAGAATATCAAAATATCAAAAGTCCCCCAAATTTGGGATTGAGCGTGACAGCTCTTGTATGTCATCCAATTAACAGGTGCTCATGCTACATTTCTTGACACCTCAGTTTTTCTAATTAGCAATGCCAGCAACATCAGTCATGTAACCAATTACACCATAGTGCAGTGTAATAATCATTACAATGATAGAAGAAATAGACATGGGCATTCTATTTGTAACAAGAGTTCTTTTCATTCAAAATCCGCCTGTTTTAGAGTTCACTAAACTTCAGCAAATGTGGGGCAATTTTACAAATCCTTTTAATGCAATTTTGTCTCAAATATTTTCTATTCTATTTATAAAAATAAAAAAGCTACTTTCACTGAAGCAGTCCCCTAAGAAGAGAGAGGATAGTGCGCGGACAACAGCTGAGCTGCCTAGTGGATTACCACAGGGCTAGAAACACAGATGTTCCAAGTTCTAGTCCCACTGCTCACACCCAGCATCAGCATGACAACCGTGAAATGGCTTCTTACAGTCAAGGAACTGTCTCCACTTTTCCCCTGCAGGCTTGCCGGGCCCCCAAGTCACATGCTGCATCCTCCACATTTCTTGAAGCTGATGCAAAAAACAGAGGGCACCTCAGCGAGATATGCCTGTTGCCTGCTTCACTGTGAAACAGGGAGAGACTGACATCTGAAGCAGGTGAAGAAGTGGAGCAGGGTACAAAAATCCTTTGCTCATGATTGGTTCTTTACTGCTTGACTGACACCAGAGGAGGGAATCAACCTAGTGTCCATGCAGACTCAGCAAACCAGGGACAACTTTATACTAATAAACTCAACCAGTCCTCACCCAGACATGTCAGTTAGGAGTCAAAATCCAGGATGGAGCCTGACTTCGTGTTATTCCTTTGTTAATGTCTATCCTTGTACCACAATGCCCTTCCCTCAACTACTGAATGGTTAAGACACTTTGACTCACATGCTTGATTTGATCTCTTTGTAGATACAACTGAGAGAGAGAGAGAGAAAGAAACCATTTTACTGTGAACATTTATGAAGTTTTAAAAAGCTCTGCACCTACTTGTGTTCTGTGCCAGATAACAGATGCCCTGGAGTGACCTAACTTGTTTCGACAAGGTCCTTTGTCATAATGTATAAGGAGGAAATCATCCTATGAAACATTAAACAGAAACATTAGCAATTAATAAAGAGTCTCTTTTCCTTCAAGATGGTGCAGATAGTGGCAGCAAAATAACAAAATATTACAGAGGAGAGCAAGTTTGAAGATCCCTGCAAAGCACTGAATATGAAAAGAAAAGTTTCAGAGTGGAAAACCAACTGAAATTAAATTTGTATTCTTGCATGGGTCAGCGCTGAACAGCCCTTCCCAGAGTTGCTCCCCACCAGGTTACTATGGAAGTGATTTCATAAGATGGAACATAATACAAATAAAGCACGTGTTGGTAATAAAGAGAATGAATTGTGCTGTGCCTGGAGGAAAAGCCAATGCAGATCAGAGTAAAGCACTGTGGGAACCTTTCAGCAAGATGACAACAGTAATAAACAAAAAAATGAAGAACTAATATCTCTATTTTCATGTCTTTTAGATTTCCATGCACATCAAGTTAATATTGTACTCCCCCTTCTTTTTCCCTATTTGATATCAGATCATGTGGATTTCCCTGTCTAGCAAAGCTACTGGGTCTCAAGTGCAGCTAAGAATCCTTTTTCTCAGGAAATAAAATGTCCTATCTTCTAACCAGGGAATGAACTGAAAGGAAAAGTGAAATCATATGGATAAAAACATTTTCAAACCTGATTGCTTACCGTCAAGCACCTTAATAAACAGACTGGTTTTCATAGGTGCTGTGCACCCACAATTGGAGTCAATAGAGTAGTTAGTGCTCATCACTTCTGAAAACCAACCTGCTTATTTAAATGCCTAAATAGGAGTTTAGGCAACAGAATTTGAAAATACTGGCCATGCTAGGTATAGAACATGGGAAGAGGAAAGCTACTTCTTGGATCCCAAGCCTCTCAAATGTGGCACTTATTTTGCAGCTGGGAAAGCAAACCAAGGCAGATATCTACCCAGTTCTACAGATCTGGACTGGTCACACTTCAGTACAGCAACCAACGCAGGCACAGGGGACCTCTAATTTTAACTAAGTATGGGAGTACCCATGATTTAAAACTTAACCGTAAGGCACTCAAACATAACAATTGCAGGATTTGGAATAGTTAGGGAACATTTTTGGGACATGAAACATTTCCTCTGCCATTGTTAACTACACTTTGCAATAAAACGTTTCCTTGGCTAATATGTGGAAACAGATGTAGCATATTCTATATACTCCAGTGCTTGGGCACAATAAGATATTGGCTTGTTTGTTCTTCATACATCAGTTCACTGGCTTTTTCTCTTACTTTGTCCTGAATAACCAAAACAAATCAACATCAAGAAACAACTCTCACTACTGAAGTTCAGCACTAAAATGAATACTGGCACTCTACATGGGATTCTGTATTTAGGGCTACCTTACACTATTATGCAGAGCAGAAAGAAATACAAATATATTCATCCTGCAAACACTCTTTAGAATATAAATTCTTTAGGAAGGAGCTGTCTGATTTGTGTGTAAATGGTACAGTATTCAACACAAAGTGAGAAACAAACTATGTAGCTGCCACATGGAGATGACAAAGGAAGAATAATTTTCATCAAATTTCAAATTACACTAACTTCTTTCCATCTCATTTATGCAAAGGGTGAACAGCACAACAGCTCTTCAGGTGGGGCAAATAAGATCAAGTGCACAAGTACCATCAAGTAACCAGCTAAGATCCAGCTCTGCCCTTGCCCATGCATTTTAGCAGAGAAATAGGTGCTAACAGTAGTGTTACAAAAGGTTCAGAAGAAACACAGAATGTGAAAGAGCAGCTAGTGAGGATATCCATAGGACAGTCTTAAGTCAGCATAACAAACTTGTAAGCTTACAATGTCCACCGAAGCACGCAGTGTATACTCACATCAAGAGATTCCAGACAGTACCAGCAAAAGGCATGTTTGCAGTTTTTACACATCATTTGGGCACAACCCTCATCTCGCTCGATATAAACTTTGCACTTTGGACAGCGTTTGATGGGAGCATCATCATCTTCCATTTTATACATAGAACTGTGGGAAGACATTTGCAGAAGTTTATAAGGTGTGTACCCGTGCGTGTCTGAAGCAAAAATAACATCCTAATTGAAAAAAATCTGGGTTTGCATTTTAGTTTTGTTATCCGCTTTCTTTTGTTTTGTTGTTAAGTACCTGGAAAGCAGCTCTAGTACAACAATTAATTTTTATAGTGCCTATCAAACAGCTATGCACTTACCAGACAAAACACATTTCTCTCATCTACCAATTGTTTTCTGTGACCTGGTGACATCAGTGTGTACAATGCTCTCAGCTGTCAGCTGAGCACGTGGGAACCAATCTGGAGTCAGGTTTTTACATGCCTAGTCCATCTGCCTTTCTCCTCCTCTTTTGTTTCTTATGGGAGAAGGAGAAAGGATCTCAATGTGGATAACAGGGAGGCTGACAATGCCCAGCTGAACCAGGCTATGGCCCAGGGGCCTAGGGATTCCCTGGATGAGAAGGCAAAGGGAGAGACTGAGCGTCTCCTGCTTCCATGAGGCTCCTCTCCTAGGACTTCCCCTTCAAGCCAAAGTCCACTGGGTTTTCCTGGATACCCTGTTCCTCCAAGGCTTGCCTCCTCTGTCACAGTTCAGGGCAACTGCATCTGCAATTCCCCTCTGTGATCCACTGAGAGCACCTACTTAAAAGCTCCCAGTTCCTCAGCTGTCACTCTCTTGGGTAGACTCCAGCCTAACCAGGGTTTTTCCAGGCTGCACAGTTCCCTGCCTACACTGTGATTTCCCCAGCAAGCCAGACTGCCTAAATAGGCCAGCATCTGCTTTCTCTCCGAAGGACAGGAAGAGAGGAATTGCCCCCAGTTATGTTACCACACAGCTCTTTATAAACAAGCACATTTATTCTTGCAGTGAAAGCATTATAGAGAAAATATATAAAAACAATAAAAGTTCCTGTATACATGCTAAAAGCTTACCAGGGGTCACCCCTCAGTTGGCCAAAGTCCTTCCAAACTCTCCCAGGAAGGATTGGCCCCACCCCATTCCAACAGTAGATCCTGTCCATTTGCTGGATCAGAAAGAAGGTCCTGAGTCTGTTTAAACTCAGGGTATTTATCCTTTTCTTTGTCTCTTGATCTCTGTCCTTTCTTTGTCTCTTGATCTCTGGAGAATCCAGTCTGAACCATCAGATACGAGCCTCTGCAAGTGCTGGCCCCCCTCTGGAGGTGTTACAACCTGAGTGAACTTGCCTCATACCCCCTACTGTTCTTGGTTCCTGGAGGAGATGTGGTCACTCTCCCGCAGGGAATTACATGCAATCCCTGGCCCACAACAATACATAAACTTCATACAGTAAGATCTCCCCAGAAATATTGCAGGAAATTGCCTTATCTCTCATATTCCCTCTCTCCAGTGCTGGCAAGGAGCTGCTGAATCGTAGTGCAAACACCTGGTTCACAGTGCTGCTTCTCAATCTCACTCCTGCCTGCAGTACCAACACACAAAAGTGGAGGTTCACGCCACATGGAATGGGTCCATGTCAAGGAGCAGGAGTGAGAGGGCATTTAAGGAGCATTTTTTCTTCCCTGATTTCCTGGAAGAGTCTTCAAGCTCCACGTGCTCAGTGAAGGCTTTAGGACTCTGTAAGGTCTGGAAAAAAGCATGGTGCCTCAGACAAAGGTGTTGACAGCACCTACTCCAATGGGAGGCAGGAGAACAACAGAGGAGGATTCCCAGCCTGTAGGATGATGAGAGGTGGGGAGGGGACTGAACAAAGTCCTGACTCCAGATTGGTTACTACTTCCTGACCGATAGATCAGAGGAGACACACATCCGTGACAACCACACCATAGGGAAACGTTTTGAACACACAAATTACATTTGTCATTCCCAGCACGTGCTGGCACAAACTGCTGCTGGGACAATGGTTGCCAGCAAGTTGCAAGGACAACCGCCAAATGTTCTAAACCTACAGAAAAGAAACACAAATCAAGCAAAATGCTGAGCAAAACATATTGAGGAATTGAGAACAAGAGCAACCTAGCCAGTCAGCTGTCACTACAAGATAGAGGGGGAGAGGCAGTCTTGAGAATAGCCAAGTCCCAGACCATTCATGGCTTTAACGATCGTGACCAACATCTTGAATTGCTACAAGAAGTGAACAGGGAAACAGGGATGAAGCCTGAGCACAGGTGTTATGTACACACAGTGACCTGCCCTATTCAGGTGGGCAGCTGCATTCTCTAGCTGTGGAAATTGCTAACTGGTCTTCTAATGCTGCCTTCAACAGGGCTCAAGAATCACTCCCTCGCTCCTGGAAGAGCAGCAGTCATGGTGCAACTGACAGAGGCCTCCTAAAATAGCCAATCAGAATCAACCAACCCTCAAGCCCCTGGAACAGCAGCAGCAGTGGGGGTATGGGGGACCTGAGGTGGCTGAATGTGTCATTGGCATCAATGGAACAACAGATGGAACAGATAGATGGGCAAGCAGAGCTGCAGATGATGCCAGGAGCCTGGGTCGTCCCTCTGTGCTGGCTCCACCTGCTCCCTGATGGTGGTGGTGGGGCAGCCAAGCCACCAAGGGAGCCATCACCATCCATCTCTGTATCGATCACAGTGTCTTAAAAGAAAAGGATTGGAATGGCTGCTGAGGACAATCGCTTAAAAAACAAACAGGAGAAAATGGCCTCTTGACTGGAGATGAGGTTATATTCCTCTTGTTACGCATCAAGTAGATCTGTGCTGCTGCCACTGGGCAAGTTACAGTACTGTACCTTGTTTCTCCTGGGAGGAAGGTGATTGGCATATTCTCTTGACAGCCTTGTCCTGGATGCCAATTGGATTTACAAGATGAGCAGAACTCTATGTCACAAGCTTTGCATTGGACCAGCTGGGGATTTTGAGGCCCTGATTCTTGTAGTTGGCAAACTGCCTGGCAGGCAGAAGATGGACACCAAGTCCGACATGGATCCAAAAGCACTTCTGCAAAAGAGTATAAAATAACCAGAATCAATGACAGCTACAGGACTGTCTTTTAATGATATACGGCTTAAGAATGCTCACATGCTCAGATTGCTCATCAGACCAGCTGTTTTCAAAAGAGGCCTCCAGTTTTGTTTGCCCAGTCTGGCACACTTATGGCCTGATTTGCAGATGTATTCAGCATCAGAGATATCTAAAATTAGAGACCACTTTTGCAAATGTGGGCCTACCTTCCTAACAGTGCACTTCTGGAGATTGCCTGAACTAATTGCTTTTACATTGTTCACAGAATCACAGAACCATAGGGAACACAAGGGTCATGTAGTCTAACCCCCTGCCAAGATGCAGGATTTGTTGTGTCTAACATCCAAGAACATGGTTATCCAGCCTCGTGAAAACCTCCAGAGAAGGAGCTTCTACAACCTCCCAAGGCAGTCTGTTCCATTGTCCTACTGTTCTTACAGTTAAGAAGTTTTTCCTGAGATTTAATCTAAATCTGCTATGCTGTAGTTTAAATCCATTGCCTCAAAATAAATCAATTTTTCTCCAATCTTTTTTATGGCAGCCTTTCAAGTATTTGAAGACTGCTATCATGTCTCCACTTAATTTCTTATTTTCCAAACTAAACATACCCCCAGTTCATTCAGACTTTGCTTATATGGCTTGCATTCCATCCCTTTGATCATCTTTGTTGTTTGCCTCTGGATCCTTTCCAGTTTCTCTACATCCTTTCTATACAGTGGTGACCAAAACTGGACACAGTACTCCAGCTGAGGCCTAACCCGCGCTGGGTGGAATGGTGCTATCATCTCCCATGACTTACATGCTATGCCTCTGTTAATGCAACCAAAAATTGCATTTGCCTTTTTTGCCACAGCATCGCACTGACGACTCATGTTGAGGTTGTGATCCACCACAACTCCCAGATCCTTGTCAGCAGTGCTGCTGCCAAGCTAGTTATTTCCCATTCTGTATTTGTGCATTTGGTTTTTCTTCTCTAAGTGTAGCACCTTACCTTTGTCTTTGTTGAATTTCATATATAGCCCAGTTCTCCAGTTTCTCAAGATCCCTTTGAATTTTAGCTCTACCCTTCAAAGTGTTTGCAAACGCTTTGTGTCATCTGCAAATTTGATCAGTATGCTCTCTATACCCATCTACAGGTAATTAATAAAGATATGAAATAAGAGTGGCCCTGTAACTGATCCTTGTGAAACCCCACTTGAGACCTCTTCCAATCTGACATAATTCCATTAATAGTTATTATTTGTTTGCAGTCGTTTAACCAATTATGTATCCACTTAATGGCAGTTCTACCAAGCCTGCATTTCTCCAGCTTACTTATCAGAATGTCAGGTGGGACCATGTCAAAACCCTTGCTAAAGTCCAGGTACATTATGTCCATTGCATGCCCCCTATCCACCAAACCAGATACCTTGTAAAAGAAGGAAATCAAGTTGGTTTGGCATGATTTGTTGTTATAAATCCATGCTGGCTGCTAGTGATTACTCCTGCATCCACCAGGTATTTGTAAATTGAATATTCTATACATTGTTCTAATACCTTCCCAGGTACCAAGGTCAGGCTGACTGGTCTATAGGTCCCCAGTGCCTCTCTTTCCCCCTTTTTAAAGATGGGCACTACGTTAGCCCTTCTCCAGGCTTCTGGAACTGTTCCTGTCATCCATGAGTTTGCAATTATTATTGCCAGTGGCTCTGAGATTTCTTCAGCTAATTCTGTCAGCACTCTGAGGTGAATAGCATCAGGCTCTGCTGATTTGAATTCTGACCAATCTGAATGATGATCTCTGACGTGTTCTTTACTTACCCTGATCTGCATCCCTTCCCCTTTATTGTCTGTAATAACTTTGTTAGTCAAAGTTAGTGTTCACTTTTAACTTATGGATTAAAACTGTCTCTGAGAAGGGAAGGGGATATTTTAAATTTTATTGAACAAAATTATACTTATACAGTTAACAGAGCTTATTTCAGATTTTGTAGGCACGTGAAAGTTCTCACCCAGCTCAACAGAAGTGTTTGTACAGCGCCCAGCCCAAGGGGGCCCCATTTAAAGTTGATTGGTAGGCACTGCCATAATAAAGATGACAAATTAATAAATAAATAAAAATAATACAAAAGAACATTATCTAGTTTTCCTGGAGGCTGGTTTACTGGTAACTCAGGGCCTGATCCAAAGCCCATTGAAGTCAGTGGAAAGAGTCCCATCGAATTCAATGGGTTTTGGATCAGTCGCTAAAAGAACCATAACCAAACATAAACCTCATTCTAAGTTCTCTCCCCTAGTGTTAGCGGTTCTCAAGATATTCCACCCAGACTCAAGTTCCCTTTGCCTCCTAGAATGCCACTTAAACCCCTCATATTCAGATTAGAATCAACAAGATGCACCTGTCACTATGCCTCACCAACAATTACCCCAGACCTGAAGAAAGCTCTGTGTAGCTTGAAAGCGTCTCTCTTCCACCAACCGAATTTGGTCCAAAAAAAGATATTACCTCACCCACCCTGTCTCTCTGCTCCCCTGGGACTCAACACAGCTATAATACTGCAAACACTAATTATCTTGCAGGATTCCAGCACCCAAACTTAGATTGGCTCCATAGAGGACCCCAGCATTTCTATACAGAGTCCTAGGTACTGCCATCCTACCATTAGTGCTATATAAAGCATACAAGTGCATGATGCCCAGAGAATTCCCCCTTTCAGTAACATATTCATACAATATGCAGCAGTTTTCTGTCTGCAATTCAGTTTCCATCACATGGTACATGGCAACATGCATGCACTAGGAGGACCTGATAAAGGAAGAAACAATTTGAGCTTTCTTCCGCTCACAAATCATATAAGGCTCCAACACTACTGTATAAACACACACAGGACCACAGTCTGATCTCTGTGACATGGATCAATCTGGGGGTAACACTATTCCCATAGATTTGGAAGCCAGCCATTGGTCTGGAGTAAAGGCTGATATTTCATACTGTACCTCTTTCAAACTGTAGCTTCTTGTACCTTTGCATGATTTCTGATGCAACCATACACTCAATCTGTTAAAATAAAAAAGGAGAAATTACAAATTAGAACAGCAATAATCCAAGGCATTCCAAATGAATGGAGACCCAGCATTCAACCTTTATAAATGATTAAATCATATGCTGGCAATAAACAACAGCTGTAATATGCCCTGAGCAAGACACGTCCAAATATACTGAAAGAACCAACGTGCAGTAAAAATATACCTCGTTTTCTTGTAGATGACCTCGTTTTGGGCAGGAAGCATCAGGGCAACTAATTGCTGTTTCTAGACCTTCTTTGATCAAAAGTTCCACATACTGTTTCAGGCACTGTAAAAGAGGAGGGTGTAACTATTCTTCCAAATATAAATTATTCTGCATATCATTCATGCTTTGACTTGCTCATCTGAAGATTTAAAATCACTTTACAGAAGTGGGTAAATATTATCTCCCTTTCACAACTGGGGAAATAGACAAACACATTCAGAGACTTTCCAAAGTTATACACTAAACTAAATAAGTGGCAGGAACTAAATCTCCTGAAATACATTTCCATGCTCTATTCATTAGACAGCTCTGCCTCAGTTACAAATTACACAGTAAATAAGAGGCAAGTAAAATGGAATGTTAGGAAAATAAAAGATAAAATTAGATTAACCAGTCTTCATAAATCCCTCAGATTTATATCACCGGAAACCATAACAGCTTACCAAGCAGTAGCTATCCATTAACAGTCATCTGTCAAGTACAACAGAATGGGAAAGGTTATTTGGCTTGTTTCCCATTACACAGAAAATAACTAACTGAACTTCTTGGTGAGGATATATTTCATTCTCAGTGTGAAGGAAGAATGCACAAATGAGGACTCAAAAAAGAATAGCTATTTCCATATGAATGTCCTGCATAATAAAACAATTATAAATTAATAAATAATAAAGCTGTATATATATATATATATATATATATAGTATTCTTCATCCCAAAGGATCCCACTGAGCTTCAGAGAAAGCAGAATTGAAATTATCGTCTCTAAAAGGGTGGTATATGGCAAAACACACAACTGGAGGGAGAAAGGGGTGGTTTGGGCTAAGGGCAAACCTCTTCGCTTATGAAAAGAGCCACACAGGGATCAGATTAAGCCAATACCATGTGATGTACTGGCTTCTCTTTTTGGCCCTTAGCCAGTCTTATTTCCCCTCAGCTGCCATCTTGCCCTGGCTCTCTCCTCAGTTCCCCTCTTACCAGCTGCCACCTTCTTGATTTATGATGTCAGCACCATAGGCCAGTGGTAGAATTTTTTGAAACCTGGCTGTGTTTAATTTTTGAGTTAAAGGCTTGATCCAGATCCAGCCCCCTCCCCAACCTCACCCTCACACTGTCCCATGCGGAAGAGAGGGCTACCACCACATCAATATGTGCCAAACTGCTGCTAGAGAAGTTGGACCTCCTCTTCCCTCCACAAAACTCTTCTTTGGAATCAATCTTCCCTTCCCACAATCTGCCTTGGAACAGGGAAGGGCCGAGTCAACCCTGCTGGAATATAAACCACTGATTCCAGAGAGCCTAGGTAAAGCTCAAACTACTCAACCATCCCCCTCTAGTTCTAGGCAATGGAAACAAAATACCAAAATTACAATTAGCACTTTAGTCCTGCCATCTTCCAACTGATAGAAGCACCCTAAGCATCAACATATGACATCTCACTTTTACTTATTTACTTCACCTCAAATCACGGAGTATTTTCAGTGCAATGGTAAGTATCTGAGAAGCTGGAGGTAATCAGCTAACCCAACCAACCTAGTGCCAGAAATAACATGAGTCATGTAGACTCGTGCTATGCTTAGAAATACATTACCAACTCAAACCTCCCTCTCGGCTCTACAGGGGAGAATCACAAGTAAATAAATAAATAAAACTTTAAAGAACTCTCAATTGGCTTTCAACTGAAATAATGAGTGGTGAACAATTTCTCCAGTCTTAATCAGACCATCACATATAATGCACCCAGTAACTGCAGAGATCCAGACTTATATTCCGCTCCTTCAGTCTTCCCTATGCACACTGTGCGTTCTTTAAGCCTGCCTGCATGGCTCCTTTGTGAGGATTTGTTCTTAATCCCACACTGATATTTTGACTTCCTCCTCTTGCATCTTGACTGTGGCAAAATCCTCGCTTTCTCCCAACATCATCATTTCAACTACTGCAGAGTGTTACTCCATTGGTGGCAATATAGCCCTTTATATCCCAACAAAGTCTTCTGTCAGATTCCCCATTATGAGGTGTGTTGTGTTTTTTTTCCAGAAGAAACAATATCTCAGCTTCTTGGAGAAAAATAGAAAGAAACTGAATAGCTGATACTTTTAAAAGTTACTGTTTCCACAGCAACGGTAACTCTGCATCTTTGCAGACAGTATATTAAGGCCCATCTCCTTGCCTTTGTCAGAAGAAAAGCAACAAAGACAGGGATTCACCTCAGGAGATGCTTGGCTCCTGGAATGTTTCTGATCTACAGTCTCCTGCTCGGCTGGGGTTGGGGCCGCTGGGAGCATGGCTGGCAACTACCACAGACAGCTGAAATCTGTGAGACCAGGGCCCTGGGCTGTGGATCTCAGCACCACCAGTGGCAGGGGCATCAGTCCTACCATGGTGCCATTGTCGGCTCTTCCCATCCCCCCCATCTGTAAATGGTGAGCGTAGACTCAGATGAAACAGCATATATATTTAATGACAACGCTTAGCACTTAAAAGAACACTTTTCGAGCTCAGTGCGCTTTACCATCATTAATGATTAATTTGGCAATTCTCTTCACCACCCTGTTTGGGACCTTTGCCAAAGCCAGTCAAACATAGTTTCCCTTTTCTAACATCTTCTAGGGAAGGGAGTAGCTCATCCATGCCTTGTCCAATACTCAGGGCCTTCTCTATCCACTAACTTATCATTGAGCTTCCCATACTCTTAATACCAGACAAGCCAAAATGTGCTTCTCCTGCTACATCTGCTTAGGAATCCAGCTGCTGCCTTGAAGCCAGTAAGTGTCAGGAAGAATCTGTCCCAGGTCCTGTCCCGTAGGGGTTTTATTTCAGGCGAGGCTCTGTCTGTTCAAAATTCCCTTTCCCATAAAACAGAGGCTCCTGGGGCTGAAGAAGAAGCAGTGTGAGCTCCCTCCTCTTGGGTGGATCTCTCCTCCCCCCACTGCCTGGAAGTGAATGCATGAGGTGCCACCAGCATTAGAAAACCAAAACTGGTAGCAAGGTTAGAAATTCCCCATTGCATCAGCACATCTCTATGTCCACACAGGGAATGAAACACAAAACAGATTATGTGCCCAGTTCACAATCCAGGGCTCAGTAACTAATGTTGATGTTATCCCTTTTAAACCATCCCAGTAAAATTATTGTAGGATTTTCCTCCTGTTATACCTTTTGTAAGATTGCCCCTTTGTTCTTCTAGGAATAAAGTGATTAAAAAAAACAAACCCATCCATGAATTGCTATTTGAGTGCAATCACTGAAAATGACCTGTAAAATGATCAGTGTAACAAATCTCCTAGGAGGGAAGGGGAATTGAGATTAGCTGCCTACTGGCTGGAATGGGTGAGAGAAAGTGACAAAGGCATCCGCCTGCTATATGCAGGCTCTTGCGAATACCAATATGTTAAGCAGCATTTTTATTTCCCTTGTAACTGGACTAAGAAGAATCATCTGTATCTAAAAAAAAACAATTTCCACTGAATTTACTTGGTCATGTGTCCTTACTAACAATACTTAAAACTTGTAAATAAACAAACAAAATTTAAACAACATGTCATTGCAGCTGCGTTAAACTTGGCAGCTGTGAACTGATTATACAAACATTAATTCTTTAGTCTCCGTTGATCAGTATCTGAGGAGATGGAAGTCCTGCTCAGAGAAGTTCTTCATAATTCAAGATACCTTTGTTTCTCAGCAAGGGAGAGTAAAGCAGCCAGAGTGTACTGGCCAGTTTCCCCCAGCTCCTGACCTCCACATTCCCCTGCACATGTGCACACACTACCATTTTCCCTGCCTTTTCCACTCCCTTCTGTCCTCACTTTCCTCCTCCCAACACAATTTGCCAAGCCACCCATACGAGCGAGACATTGAAGGCTGTTCAAGTAATGACAAATAATAAATCCTCTGGTCCCAATCCCTTTCCAACCTAGGTTTTCCAACATGGAGGAAATCTCATTCACAAGTTCTTTGAATTTTTCTCACATATCTGGCTTCAAGAAATGATAACGCAACTGAAAGATTCCAACATTGTCACCATTTATAAAAAACTCAAAGAGCAACTGTGATAACTATCGCAGTATCTCTTTGCTTTCTGTGGCCTGCAAGATTCTTGTACGGATCCTCTTGAACCAAGTCATCAAAAAAGTTCTGAGTCACAATGTCGCTGTTAAAAGCAACAGAGGGTTCTGTGGCACCTTTGAGACTAACAGAAGTATTGGGAGCATAAGCTTTCGTGGGTAAGAACCTCACTTCTTCAGATGCACTACTTCACTTGCATCTGAAGAAGTGAGGTTCTTACCCACGAAAGCTTATGCTCCCAATACTTCTGTTAGTCTTAAAGGTGCCACAGGACCCTGTGTTGCTTTTTACAGATTCAGACTAACACAGCTACCCCTCTGATGAATGTTGCTGTTGTGCTCGGTGGAGCACTGCTGACATGATTTTCATCATTCAATAATTACAGGAAAAATGTAGGAAACATCACCAACCTTTGTACATTGTGGTTCTCAATCTAACCAAGGCATTGTATGTAGCCCACTGCACTGCCCTTTGGAAACTGCTGGCTAAATTTGGATGTGCAGACAAATGTATTAACATAATTTGGCAATTATAACAGATCCATTTCCAATCATAAAAGGGGTAAAGCTGGGATGTGTCCTTGCTCCTAGCCTTTTTGGTCTATTCTTTGCTGTGATGCTGAAAGAAGCCCTTTGTGGTGCTTCAAATGGCATCTTTACACACCTCTGCACTTGTAAGCTCTTCGATCTTGCTCATCTACACACAAACACCACGGTGATAAAAATGCTGATCCAGGAACATGCTGGATAATTGTGCCCTGATGGTGCACTCTGAAGCAGCACTAAAAGATCTCACAAACAGCTGTGCTTACCAACTAACTTTGGCCTCACCATCTGTCAAACGAAAACCAAGGTTCTGTATCAGCCAGTTCTTCAACAACCTTACCAAGATCCCTCAATAAGCCTGGAATGTATCATGCTCCAAGATGTCAAATAGTTTACTTATCTTAGCAGCATGTTGAACAATTAAGTGACAATTGATTGCAAAGTGGATGCGCGAAT